GCAACTGCTCGAACCTCTCTGTCTTTTGCATTTCGATCTTGGGCAAAGACTGTTCCTCAAACCAGACATCGTCTTGGAGAGAGGTTTTGCAAGGTGGAAGAGAGTAGGTATCTGGCCTGATAGGCGCTGCTAGAACCTCGATAAGGTCAGCATCAACATCCCATGGTTCAAAAGCATTCCCTGTAAAATCATCCAAGTTGGCAGTTTGCAATATATGTTCCCAACTTTCAGGAGCTGGACTGAATGAAGTGCTCCCATTTGCTTGCAGATTCTTCAGCGAGTTTGAAATCCCCACCAACTGCTGTTCTACTTTATCTTTCCACGAATTCAATTCCTTGAACATGCACTGCAAAAAAAAGTGAGATATGGTAGACAAAAGCTTTATCAGGTTATTATCATCTCTGGTCAAGAAGCTTCAAACAAATACTTTCTACTTATCATTAGTCTCGACCTGAGTTGAAGTCAACGAACTTGAGATATCCACAATTTGCTTATCAGTCTTTGCCCTCCAAGTTATAAGATCCTTGTGTAGTTTCTGGGAGAAATGCAAACAGAAAAGTTTTGAATCTCTAGTTATACTTATCTTAACACATTCCTTGAACTAGGACAAAAATTGATCTCAAAGTCACCTCAGTGGCATCATCATGATCTGGTAACTTTTGCTTGGATGCAAGTTCTTTGATATCACTGCTTACCACAAAAGAAATGAGATTTCAAGCGCATCTGGACTTCAGAGAAAGCAAACATTTATTGAAAGCTTAGAGTATTGCAAGCACATTACCTCTTCATTTTCTCAATCTCTTCCCTAAGAAGAGCAGATGATTCATTCGATGCATTCTGAATCTTCCACCAAGCTGGTGGCATCCAACTAGGATCAGGAATCCCAGATTCACGTTTGATTTTGATCAAATCAGCACTCTCTAGCCAATACTCCATGGTTCCTTCAGTATTGTGACACCTCCTAAACCGATCAGCACCACCTGGTGTTACCTTTCCATCAACGTGCTTCAACAAATGGTCCAAGAGTCCAGTATCACCGATTTTGCTACGAGCTAAACATCTTAACTCGCCCCGCGAAACAGGAGTCTCAAAAGTAGCACCTTTCTCCTTTAGTACATCCACCAAAGATTGCTCCGCCAACTTAAACCTGCATATAAAAACAAAGGCTTGTTCATACAAAACAAAGATGAAAATCAAAAAGGGTAAGTAAGCATCAATGATATTACCTATCAGTATTCCATCGAGATGTTAACCTTGACTGCTTGTTGTTTTTCTGATCCTCTAAGCCGCTTTCTCTCTTTTCCCCAAATCTAGCAAATTTTCTTCCTAAAGAACGACCTCGAGAGAGTCGTTTTCTTTTCTGGATTCCATACGTTAAAAGAAACCCAGGTCCTTCTTCCATCTCTAATTTGACATTAACCATGTTGTTTTCACTCTTGTCTTCTCCCTGAGTATCTAAAGAAACGGGCTCCTTTTTCACCGAACCAGCAATATCGGAACGATTCACCTTGATCCGACTACTCCTCCTATCAGACATCTCATAAAAGCCTCTCGCGATTCCTGTACCATTTCACGCGACAACAAAGAGAAAAGAGATTCAAGCTCTCTAAATCGACCCCAAAAATCACCAGAAAGAAAAAAAAACCAACAGAGAAAAATGTCGAAGCTAGGGTTTTTTTTTTTAATCTCTGTCGGAGGAGGCGACGCGACATTTTTGACACCC